TTTCAAAGTGGAACCTGTGGTGCTTTTCTTAATAAGATTTCATAATGCTTGTTTCCCACCGAGTACACATGCCTATCATTTGATTCTTTTTCTGCGTTTAGTGATAGCTTCTCTATATATAGTTTTTGTTTAATTAACATTGTGGGATTGGTTTTATGTGTAGTTCTGTAAAAATCTCATATTGTCCCTGATGCAATTAAGATCACTATCAAACCATTGTATCTTGTTAGACTTGCGTAGATCTATGAAGAGACGCGTATTAAGAGCTAGATATTGATCTATTGCATCAGTATCAACGCCCTAACTTACTCAAGTTTAACACACGCCAGTCGAGACTTTCCAAACTATTGTAGAGAATGAATTCCTCGGATCGGTAGGTGACGTGTGAAATAGCTTTGCCTTTTGGGATTGGCATAAGAGGATGCAACTCCCATACAGGGTGTAAACGTTACGGTAGCCATTATTGAAACGGGTAATAGGGGGGGAAGTCAAAAAGTTAATATGACCCATAGTCCAAAAGTCGATAGATTTTTGTCTAAATGGCTTTATAGTTCACAACTTTAAGTGCTTTATATCGACCACAATCACCACAACCTTACTAATTTTTATAATCTAATCTGAAACGTATTTGGGTAATTAACAAATAAATCGCATTAAGTTTTTCTAAGTTAAGCCAAAATTTGTATTCAGTAAGAAAGTATGTTTCATTAAATTAAATATTTAAAACACACATGACAACAGCGCGTCGGCCTTTCATCACTCTTGTCGAACCGGCAATCGATCGCAAACGGTAACAGTGGTTAGTTATCGGGCATCGGGCCTGTTGTTTTGTTCGCGTACGTCGTCGTGTTTATTTACAATGTTCTCGAATCAAGAGTTCGACGAAATGTTGTTAGTTAACGATTTTTTTTTTTTGGTGAGGGGGGAATGCATTTACGCAGCTATGCCGTGTGTGGGACTTCAGGTTGTCTTGAGGAGACTACCTAATACCCACTAAACCCTAACCTCTGTGTGGCCCGACTCATCAGCGTCTCGGAAAGGCCATGTGTTGTGCGTGACCTACGGTCTGCTACAACGTCTCCTCATGTGTTTCAGTCTCTGGGAACGCCTTTTTTCCTCATGTACTCGTGGATGGTGTCCCAGTGCAGGTCTTTACGCAAGGTTGAGTTTCTTACGTAGGCTGGTGCACCGGTGGCGATCCGGAGTAGCTTCATCTCTTGAGCAGCAAGTCGCTTGCGGTAGCTGGGAGCAGCGTACCCCCAGACCGCGGAGGCATAAGCGAGCTGAGGTCTGGCGATGGCCTTGATCAGCCGTAACTTGGTCGCTAACGGCATCCGGCTGTGTCTACCCAGTAATGGGTAGAGTTCGGCCATGGCTGCTCTGGTCTTTGCGATGACAGCTTCTATGTGGGGTTTCCAGGTGAGGGACTTGGTATGGACCAAGTATTTGACTTTGTCACTCCACTGGATATCTTCGTCGAAGATGGATGCTTCGGGAGGTCTTGTGATCCTTCTTCGTTGGATGAAGATTGCCTGCGTCTTTTGGACGTTGATGCGGATTTTCTATTTCACGCACCAGTCCTGGATGAGGTCCAGTTCATCCTGTAGTCTACTACGGACGATCTCGGGTCATCGATGCTTGGCGGCTATAGCAGTGTCATCTGCATATAGCGCCAGCATTGTGACTGCTGTCTTCGGTACGTCATGCGTGTAGATGTTGTACAGCAGGGGGGCTAGGGCTGACCCCTGGGGCACGCCTGCTTCCAGCTGTCTTCTGGTTGAGTGGCATGTACCAATCCTCACCGTGAACCATCTTTTTGTTAGATAGCTCTGGATCAGTTGGCACATGTTCTCGTCGATTCCGGTAGCTTCCATTTTGGTGATGAGTCCATCATGCCAAACTCGGTCGAAGGCTCGTTCCACGTCCAGCAGACGAAGCCGGTTGCCTCCTGGAGATTGAAGCCACTGGTAATGTGTTCTGTCAGTCTTAGCGCTTGGAGTTCCGTGTTGTGGAAGGATCTGAAGCCGAATTGCCTGCTTCTTTAGTCGAACGTCTATGGCCTTTTCGATAACTTTGCCCATCGAGGAAACCAGGCTGATGGGCCGGTAGTTCTGAGGAAACCTCCGGTCCTTGCCTGGCTTGGTGAGCATTATAACCTGGACTTCCCGCCACCGCCGCGGGAAGTGGTTAAGTCTCAGAGTGGCATTGGCGACGTTGGTGAGCGCAGCAATGCCTTTGGTGGGAAGGTTCTTCAGCATCCTGTTGTTGATGCCGTCATTTCCCGGCGCTTTTCTGACCTTCAACCTGTGAAGGGTGGGGATCGTGATGCGCTGACGACGAAATTTTCGTTGCATAGTCCAGGCCGTACCATCCTGGGTCTCTAGTTCTGCGCAGGCTGCATTCCAGCTGTTGTTTCGGAGTTCCGCGAGTGCGTTCTTCAGAGCTAGCGATGCTCTGATTCGCGCAGCTCTCGAATCCTCTGTCAACAGCTGGAGATGTTCTCGCTTGAGTCTTCTGTTCTCCCTGATCAGGTGCCTAATATAGTGCGGTGCTGGACCATTTAGGTGACTTGGAACTTCCGTAGTCTCGGAGTAGGTGCTGTCCTCGTGCGCTCGCAGGACAGCATTCTCCAGCTCCTCTACAGCGTTGTCCAGTTCCTCTGCTGATCGGATGGTTGGAATTTGGATGATATTCCTTTGGACGTTGGATTTGTAGTGGTTCCAGTTCGCCCGTTTGGTGGTCAAGCTGTCTTGAGTTGCAGACCCTGTGCCCAGCGTTAGTAGGATCGGGTTGTGGTCCGACGATCCTTCCTCCAGGGTCTCTATCTCGAACTTCTCTCTGATGTTGCGAACGATGGCTATGACCAGCACCGCAGGTCGCCCATTGCCTAATGGAATGTAGGTTGGTTGCTCCGGACCGACGATGACCCCCGCCAGGGCATCGACGTGTTCTTGGAGCTCTCTTCGACGTTATTTTTCCATGTCGGAGACTTGCAGTTCAGATCTCCGATGACTATGCGTGCTCCTGGGCCTCTCAGGAGGTCAGCGATGTCATCTTCGTCTAGGGCCTCCCCTGGTGGCACACAGAGGGAGGTGATTCTGTAGTTTACGATGAAGCTCGTCTGAATTGAAATCTTGCAGCTCAAATTTATCGTGACAGATTCCGCCAACGGGTACACCCAGAACGAAGGAAATTTGTGCAAGTGTACCAAAGACTACGAGATACAGGAAGTGTTCAACCCACTAATATTCGCTCTCGTGGAAGACAGGTTATATAATTGGCCCTTTCGAGTTACCCTCAAAGTTGTCAGGAGAAGGACACCTTAACTTTCTAGCCAAGCACCTACCAGAACTTTTGGAACAGACCTTAGACAACATGCCATTACAACGGAGACAGAATTTGTGGTTTCTTCATGACGGGGCGCCACCACACATTTTTAGAGGCGTCATTCAGTATTTGAATGACCTCAATCCGATGGATTTCTGATATTGGGGAGAACTTGAGGGGATGGTTTATGGGGCTGGTCCAACAACAACTGAAGCACGACTTCGCGAAAAAAATTTTAATGTGGCTGAAATAATAAATGGACCACTTCGAGGACCTAGAGTAAGAAGAAACTGGGTTCGTCGTAATGAAGCTTGTGTGGAAAGTGGAGGACGACATTTTGAAGACCTTCTTTAAATACAACAAAGTCCAGTGGGGGTTTTAAAAAGAAAAACATGTATCGAAAGTTTGTTCCTTATTTATAAGTGGATTTTTTTAATACGTTCAATAAACTTTCACACACCAGGTGAAGCGCTGAGACGGTTAGTGGTCCGTTTTTTTAATTGTTTGCATTTTACGAGTACATTATCAAATAATGAAATAAGACCTAAGAGCCAAAAATAACAAACTCCATCTTTATTTACACTGCGATCCGTCTTAATTTACGTCGGGCATTGCGGCGTTGTCAAATTTATTTTACTTTAAAGTCGCATTTAAATAACGTTTACACCCTGTTGAGCTTGTCAATATTGGGAGTGTCTCAACCTACCTGACGCAGTTATTAACGTGAGTACATACATACAAAGCCTAATTATCATGCCCTGATTTTGTCTCTATCCCATCCTCAATTGCGAAAACGAAAAAGAATTACTACGTCAGTTTTGCAATGCCTTAAGGGATTCGTCGCTTGACACCAAGCGAGAGCAGAGAGTAATGTACCATTCTATCGATTGCCTTGGAGGAGGGATGCTTGCGAATATCTGGAGCATGTGAAAATCAGACGAAAATTAGTTCATATACGATCGTGTTAAGGGTGAAGGGTTGAAAATTGGGACATGTTCATGTCACCAAATACCTCGGCGAACGCCGAGTACTTTAATTTTCAGAGTTGATAGGCGTAAACGTATCAAGTACCTAGCAGATATAGGTACACTGCCGTTCAAAAATTTCAGAACTCACGCGCAGACTGCTATAAGGAAGTTAGATACACCTTTATTTTACGATTTTTGAACTATCCAAGTTTAGTAGTTTAGTATTATAACATAAAGCAGAGCTGTAGCGCTGTAGTTTTAAAGGTCGGTCTCAGCTATTTTTTTGGAATGGGCTGGACATGAGCCAATCTTCTGGATTCGTAAAATATTTGGAAGGGATGTGAAAGAGATGGAGCTAGTTTATGATTAACGACAAAGAAAATTTAACCTGGGTTATACAGAGAATAAATAACTATCATTTCACCAGTATTTATTTTGCTCCCTGGTCTAATATGTACCTCAAATAACACTTTTGAAAAACTAGTTTTATTTACACATCTCTTTCATCAAACAATTATATTTTCATGCTAACCCGTTTGCGATACTTTGTGGTTTTCTCCTGTCGTCCTCGAAAGGAATAAATTAGAAATATTTCAGATACTTTTTATGAGTTTTCATTCATTTTATTCCTAATAAATGCGATCGGATTGAAATTGGGAACTGAGAGCACTACGGTTTGCAATTGGGGTCCGATTATTTTTTCAGTTAACGGTGTTTGGATAGTATAGTGGAAATCACAGTTTCTGATATTTATACTATCCATCCCACAAGGACCTTGTCAATTTATTTGCAATATATATTGATGATATACGATTATTTAAGGGTGTGGATCTACATGAAACATTTATGTTAGTTTGCTTTATAATCAATGGTCCAAAAATGTTTCCCTACAAAAACTCATTTTGAACTTTACATCTCGCACACCCTAAATCGTTTAACAGTGTTTATCGATGAAGAAATATTGTTTCATTTAATTAGTACTGCATAGTTTTCAGTTTGTTCAGTGAGTTTTTTTTATAAGTATTTATTGACAAATAATTAACAAGGGTGGAAGTTAGTTCACCGCAATCACGCCTTATATTAAAATGGTGATTCTCCAAAATGCCACCAATTGGACGTAAATATTTCGAACAACATTTGATGTATAACAGTGAAAATTGGTATACAAGGGTTTTTTGGTACGACAAAACGAACCATGGGCATAGTTTTACTGTAGCCGCTAGAGGGCGCCCTCTACTGTACCTGTAGTGTATTAAGATGACCGAAAACTTTTTTTTAGTGCAATTTTTTGCTTTTTGAATAAAAAAAATGATTCTTCGCACTTTTCAACATAAAAAAGCTCTCATGTTAATTTTCGTTATAGTTAGCCGTTTTTGAGATATTTCGATTTTTAAGGTTCGATGCATTTTTAATTATTTATGATAAAATAACGTTAAAAAGTCAGTATCTCGATAATTTTTGGAAGTAGGCTGTGCCTGCAAATATTTTTGAAATTGAAAGCAGAATAAGGTTAAACGTCAATTAGTTGACAGTTAGTTTTGTTGTCTGTTGAAGCCTAAAACGTTTTTTTGCAATTGTGAATGCACGAAATTTAGTTTCTTTTACCTGTTTTTTTTTTGTAAGTTTTATAAAAATGCCATTTTTACTCTCCAATCAAGAGTTAGCGGATAATCATTTTGTCTATGGCTTGTAAATGGAAACGCAGCAGAAGCAGCCAGAGAATACGCACGAAGATTTCCAAACAGACGACATCCAACTCGCTCAGTATTTGTAAGAGTGCATCGCCAAATAATTGAAAATGGTTTTGGTAATCTCCAAAGGGATCAAAACATAAATGTTCGTCAGCGCAGATTTATCCGTATGGTGCTGCGTCAGTTTGATAGAGATCCGACCACAAGTGTTAGGAGAGTTTGTGGTGCCTTGGGAATTTCAGCAAACCATGTTCACCGTGTTCTTAGAAATGACCATAGACGTCCTTACCATTTGCAACCTGTGCAGGGACTACAGCCAGGGGACGGAGAACGAAGAATCACATTTTTTCAGTGGATTCTTGATAGAACTGATAATAATAGGGAGTTTTTAAGTAACGTTTTATGGACCGATGAGTCATGCTTCACTAAACGTGGAGTGGTAAATTTTCATAATCAACATATTTGGTCGCATGGAAATCCGCATGCAGTTCGGGAAAGAAATTTTCAGCATGGATTTAGTGTGAACGTGTGGATTGGTATCTACCGTAATCGACTATATGGACCCTACCTTTTGCCTGCAAGGTTAAATGTTGCGATCCTCTTGGAATTTTTAAAGGCTAAACATGCAAATATGTGGGATGATGTTATGTTAGATTTAAGAAAAATGGCCTGGTTCCAGCTTGATGGTTGTCCAGCTCATTATTCGAGAATAGTTAGAAACTGGCTGGACGAAAATTATCCAGAAAGATGGATCGGCCGTGGAGGACCAGTCGCCTGGCCTCCACGATCCCCTGACTTAAATCCATTAGATATCTTTGTGTCGGGATTTCTAAAAGAAAAAGTGTACCAGACTCCCGTAACCACAAGAGATATGCTAATCACAGAATCAGGAATGCATGTGATGAAATAAGGCCTTATTTGAATAATGCTATACCACGTTCGATCATTCGTAGATGTGAACTGTGTATTGAATAATTGGGTTTACGTTTCGAGCAACTACTTTAGATTTTGTATGTTTGTCCTATCTATCCAATAGCATTTTAGTTGTAAATAATTATTTTAATTTGTTAAAAATAATATTGGAAAATTAAACAAATTAATATTCTCTTTTTTTGTGTTTATTTGGAGTTAGTAATTATTGCTGTGTTTAAAAACACAATCTAAACGATCATCTTAATTACTTGTAACGCCCACAAATAATTAAAAATGCATCGAACCATAAAAATCGAAGTATCTCAAAAACGGCTAACTATACCGAAAACTCACAGGAGAGCTTTTTTATATTAAAAAGTGTGAAGAATCAGTTTTTTTATTCAAAAGCAAAAAATTGAACTACGAAAATTTTTTGGGTCATTTTAATACACTAAAGGTACAGTAGAGAGCGCCCTCTATACATCAAATATTGTTCGAAATATTTAAAAAAAACTATTTTAGAAAGTAAAAATAAACACCCTGTATTTCGGAAGCCACGCATTTTTCGACCCATGTTTATATAGACTTTATGCATTAATTTTAGAAGTTCTATCGAATCTTAAAGTTATTCAACAATAAACTGAAACACCCTGTATAGTGTGCCCGTGTTAATTTATAGACATGTTTGTAATACAACCAATTCAGCCACATGCTGGCGTGTATCTCTCCCTTTAGTAGATATAGCAATTTAAACTTTGTGTTTGATCGTGTATACAGCGGTGCCTGGATATAGCAATGTGTATGTAACGAACAGATATGGAAAATGTTTTAATTTCATGGAAATTACAAAATCTAATACAGTGTTGTCTGATTCTATCTCCTCTATTCTGGTAAATGAATGCAGCTACAGGTGACGACAAATTTCATTGTTGACTTTTTGGCTGCAACGCATGCCGCGTTGTTAAACATTATGCTACGATTTGACACTATTCAAAAGCTATAGCAAGCCAGAAAGAAAACTGTAACATTAGAAACATAAACTATTGGATAAAAATTAAAACATGACCAAACAATAACTCAAGCATTGAAAGATGTTTGTATCTGTGACAGCTGTTTTCTACCGGATTTTTTAAAGGCAGGCAGACTTTTTTGTTTGTTAGACCTACTGAGTGAACTGTATAACTGATCGGCATTGTGTGTAAAAAATCTTCGATACAATGCAGTACGGTGAAGAGGAACATCGAACTGGTCATCATGCCGTAACCTTATTGAAATTAGATACCTACGAGGAACTAACTTACTTCCTAAGTACGAGTACATCGATATCCTGGTGATTATTAATTTGTGTATAAGAACTAACGTTAAAAACTCACAAAACGTACGAGCTTCAGCCACCTCAACTCACAGATCTTCGATGTAGCACAGCTGCGCCTACGAAGACCGAAAACAAAACGACACCAACAGTTTTGAATTTTCTGTAATCTGGTTTTTGTTATGGAGTCAAGACAAGGATAAAACAGGATGGAACAGAAAGGATATAACCAAATTCTCCACTAACCTCTTTCGAGTCTTAAAATTGAGGATAGAATGACTGGAATATAGGAGTCTCAAGCTTTCAGTATACAGGGTGTAAGCGTTATGATAGTCATCATTTAAATGGGTGATAGAGGGGGTTGAAAGAAGCAAAAGGTTTCATATAACATGGGGGTCAACGCAGGTGTAAATAAATATGGAGTTTGCTATTTTTGGTTCTTAGGTATTATTTTATTATTTGATAATGTACTCGTAAAATGCAAACAATTAAAAAAACGGACTTACCGCTAACTGTCTCAGCGCTTCACCTGGTGTGTGAAAGTTTATTGAAGGTATTAAAAAAAACCACTTATAAATAGGGAACACAATTTTGATACATACAGGTACATTGTTTTTCTTTTTAAAACCTAGGTACACTGCACTTTTTTGTATTTAGAGAAGGTGTTCAAAATGTCGTCCCCCACTTTCCACACAAGCTTCATTACGACGAACCCAGTTTCTTCTTACTCTAGGTCCTCGAAGTTGTCCATTTATTATTTCAGCCGCATTAAAAATGTTTTCGCTAAGTTGTGCTTCAGTTGTTATTGGACCAGCCCCATAAACCATCCCTTTCAGTTCTCCCCAATACCAGAAATCCATCGGATTGAGGTCAGGAGATCTTGCTGGCCATTTTCGAGGATCAGGAGCATTTCGACCGATCCAGCGATTTGGATAATGTACATTCAAATACTGAATGACGCCTTTAAAAATGTGTGGTGGTGCCCCGTCATGAAGAAACCACAAATTCTGTCTCCGTTGTAATGGCATGTTGTCAAAGGTCTGTTCTAAAAGTTCTGGCAGGTTTTTGTCTAGAAAGCTAAGGTATCCTTCTCCTGACAACTTTGTGGGTAACTCGAAAGGGGCAATTTACCTGATCGTCAAGAATACCCGCCCAAATATTTATTTTAAAACGTTGTTGGAAATGACCTTCACTGCTCTACAGTAACCTGTCTTTCACGAAGCGAATATTAGTGGGCTGAACACTTCCTGTATCTCGAAGTCTTGGGTACACTTGAACAAATGTCCTTCTGTCTGGGTGTACTCGTTGGCGATAAATTTGAGGTGCAAGATTTCAATTCTGACGAGCTTCACCGTAAACTAACGACTTGTCCGCGAACTCTTGATTCGAGAACATTGTAAATAAACACGCCCGATGCCCAATAACTAACCACTGTTACCGTTTGTGATCGATTGCCGGTTCGATAAGAGTGATGATGACCGACGCGCTGTTGTCATGTGTGTTTTAAATATTCAATTTAATGAAATTTACTTACTGACTACAAATTTTGGCTTAACTTAGAAAAACCTAATGCCATTTATTTGTTAATTACCAATTGAAAAACGTTTTAGATTAGATTATAAAAATTATTAAGATTGTGGTGATTGTGGTCGATATAAAGCACTTAAAGTTGTAAACTATAAAGCCATTTAGACAAAAATCGATCGACTTTTGGACCATGGGTCATATGAACCCCCCTATTACCCATTTCAATAACGTTTACACCTCGAATTATTGACGTGGTGTTGAAATCTGAGATTTACGTCTGAAGTGA